CTCCATCAGATTATTTGCCCATTCAGTTGCAAGGGTGTCCACCCGGCACTCGCTGCCTTCTCGTGGCCAACGATATTCGATCACAGCCGGACCAAGGCCAGGCTCGCGACGGCAATGTCTGCCGCCAGCCTCCGTTCTGCTCCGTTGCATTGGGAATGCCATTGGCTAATCACCTCGCACTGGGAGCCCTCGCCGCAGCACGTGGGCTCGCCCAGACTTCCCCGCCGCACTGCTGCCACTAGGGGAACAAAAAGTGGCATGAACAGAAAAACTCGGAGGTCCGCGCGGATTTTGCGGATCGGCGCTCGGGCCCCCTGGCGCGCTCCGCGCGCCAGGGAGGGGGCCCGAGCGCCGATCCGAGAAATCCGCGCGGACCTCCGAGTTTTTATGTTTATGCCATTCTTCGTTTCCCTAGCCACGGCCTGGCGCGATCGGGAGGCAGCGCCACAGCCAGGGTCGCCGACGAGCACGTGGTCTCGGGTGTCGGGGCGGACGTCGGTCCCTGAGCCCCAGCTGCGATGCCCTCTGCGCTGTGCCATGATGATCCGTCCCACTGCTCCCACGTGAGCACGTCCACGGGGCAGGAGGCGCCTGCACCAGTGTCACAGACTGGCGTAACCCGTGTCCAACTTTGATTGTAAGAATCGCTTGTCCTCCAATATTCACACGGCGATCAAGAGTACAAGTATGCGGTGCCCAAGCCGGATTGCTGGTAGACTGGTCGACCATGACCGGCGTTATCGTTACCACCATTTTGCGCGTTATCGATCCAGACGTACGCTCATGATACCGGAGAACAGCCCCAATCAAAGTGTTTTAGGACTATAGGGCTATTGAGCAATGGGGCTATGGGGCTATGGGGCTATAGGGCTATAGGGCCATAGGGCTATAGGTTTATAGGGCTATAGGGCTATAGGGCTATATGGCCATAGGGCTATGGGGCTGTAGGGCTATAGGGCTATGGGGCTATGGGGCTATGAGGCTATAGGGCCATAGGGCTATGAGTCTACATGGCTATGGGGCTGTAGGGCTCTAGGATCATAGGGCTATAGGGCTATAGGGATGTAGGACTATGGGGCTATAGGCCTATAGGCCTATAGGTGGATAGGCCTATAGAGCTATAGGGCTGTAGGGCTATAGGGCTATAGGACAATAAGGCTGTAAGGCTATAGGGCTATAGGCTATAGGGCTATAGAGATACAGGGCTATAGGGCTATTGGGCTGTTGGGCTATAGGGCTACAGGGCTATAGGGCTACAGGGCTATTGGGCTACAGTGCTATAGGGCTATAGGGCTGTAGGGCTATATGGCTATAGGGCTAGGAAGCTATAGGGCTATAGAGCTATAGGGCTATAGAAATATAGGGCTATAGGGAAATAGGGCTATTGGGCTATTGGGCTATAGGTCTATAGGGCTATGGGTATATGTATAGAGCTATTGGGCTATGGGACTATAGGGCTATTGGGCCATTCGGCTATAGGGCTACAGGGCACCCGAGCACCTGGGCACTTGGGCACCCGGGCACCCCTGGGCACCCCGGCACCTGGGCACCCGGCCGGGCCGCGGAAATCGGCGGCAAAGTTAACTTAACCATATGAATCCGCTAGGAGCCCTTCAGAGGCAAGCTCTGATTGGGGAATATGTGCTTGCCTGCTCTGAGCTTCCAGACTCCACCAAGTAATTATCCAAAGCCCGCGTCGGCGTCGGAAAGGGGGGCTGGAGTTGGCGGCGCTGGCGTGGGTGCCACGCCCTGGTGGAGCCTCTAGCCCTTGTTCTTGGCACTGAAGTCGGAGGACCAGGCAATGGTCGCAGTCGGGGATGATCCCGCTGGGCCCGTTCGGGTAGGCTGAGCTGGAGTAAGAGACCCCTTTGACCGTGACGCAGTCGAAATACCGTTCCGTGTCGAAGCTCTTCACCGAGATGGGCGCCGCCAGCGTCAAGTTAATTTTGAAAGTGTGCGCCTGAATCGTACCGTACGATTGTGGACCGTTTGGACTATTCACGCAGGTTCCGTCCAGCGTGCATTCGCCGGTGATATCTGCCCACGTGGATGCCAGGGCTGGCGTCGGCGGGGGAGCTGGCGTTGGAGGTGGCACCTCCTCGACAAAGCACTCCACAGAAGGATTGTATGATCGATGTCAGTCGCTGTGCGCAGGAGGCAACTGCCCGCATAATCAGGCGCATGACAGAAGTCAAACGCACATGGTCAGACACGCCGCCAATGACGCGACGCCCTGGTGCACGGTGCCCGTCGGGTGGGGCTTGCGCTTGCGTTGCAGCCGCTGTCGCCGGCCCTTTGGCGCGGCGCAGCAGGTGGCGCCCGCCGCACTGCTGCCGCAGGGAGGCGCACTCCGCCGCCGCCGCACTCCTGGGCAGCACAAGGGGCAGCAGGCGCACGAGGCGCGCCGCCACTCTCTGCGGAAGACGGGTGGGCCCTGGACAGAATGGGGTGCCGCGGAGCAGTGCAGCGCAGCCTGGGCGAAGTGCCTCGGGCCAGCCTGGAGCCAGTCTGCTCGCCACTCGGCAACGCCGCGGAGGCGATAAACGAAGGCTACAATGAGGACGACGACCACCGACGACGACGACGACCACGACGGGGGAAGTGAGAGAGCAATCCATGCATCCACTCAGCTGGCATGAACAAGCATGCCGCCACCTCTGCGTGACATCGGACAGCGTGAAACAGGGCGCCGCCCCAATTTTCAGAACGCGCGCGCGCGCGCTGATCGATAACCCTTTGGGCGGACTTTCCCAAATTTGGGGCACCTGCGTCGCGCTGTACCCGTGGCGAGGGAAGTCGAGAGGGATGTCCCTCGCCCTCTCCCTGGGTTTAGGCCCAGGAAGGGTGCAGCCACTTGGAGCGCCCAAGGTTGCCGAAAATGGCCCCAGGATGACCTGAAACAGCTCAGGACGACCTCGGGCCATCACCTCCCACTCCTCCTCCCTCCTTCTCCCCATCCTCCCCTTCCCGAACAACTTCCGGACTGGCCCCAGAAGAGTTCTGGCGTGGGCCAAACCAATTGCTTAGCCAGGGAGAGATTTGGGGGACTCGTCCGAAGCGTTCTCTGGGTTGGAGCTACAATTCCTGCGTTGGCGGCTCAATTATTGGGTTTGCGGAAAAGTACCCGGATGAATTGTTTGACCGTCGCCGTCGTCGTTGTTGTCGTCTTGTTCTTCTTGCGCTTCCCGTGGGCCTCCACCCGGTTTTCTCCAGGAGCGCCCGTGCATGCGGAAGCGTCGGTTGAAAGCTCTGAGTCGCAGAAGCAGAGGCCCTCACCCGAGAGAGGAGAGGAAGAAGGGAGCAGTACGTGTGTTTGGAATTGTATGATTACGTTTGACGTGCCCTCTCCGGCACGGGGGGGAGGAGCAGACGGGGCAGGGGGAGGTGCAGAAGAGAGGGGAAATGAGGGAAGAGGGCCGAGAGATGGAGGAGGGAGGAGGTGCAAGGAGCGAGGAGGAGCGAGGAAGGTGTGAACGGGGAGGAGTGATGGTCCGTAGAGAACAAGGGGAAGGAAGGCAGAAGAGGAGGACATGAAAACGCGTCGTCACAATGGGGCAGCTGGACATGAGAGGAGGGTCCGCGAGTAGCCCGTCGCCTGTACGCCCCTCATGAGCCAATGGCGCCCTGGAGTGGGGTCCCACGCAGCGGAAGTTGCACGGGCGGAACTCGCGCGGACGGAGTTCCCACGGATGAGAATTCGCACGCACGGAACTCGGACGGGCGGGGTTCGCACGGACCAAATTCGCACCGCGGAGGTTGTGCGGCATGTGCACGCGGCAGATTTCACACGGGCGGAATTCGCACGGTCAGAGCTCACACGAGCGGAATTCGCACACGGCAGAGCATCCAGCGTGGTCGACGCACATGCGTGCGAGTTCCGCCTCGTGTGGGTCCCTCTCGTGCGAGCCCCGTCCATGAGAGTTCCGCCGCGTGCGAGTTCCGTCCGTGCGAGTTCTGCCGCGGGCTCTGCCCGCGTGTGTTCCGCCTCGTGCGAGTTCCGCCTTGTGCGAGTGCCGTGCATGCGAGTTCGGTGCGTGAGCGTTCCGCCTCCTCCGGGGAGGGACCCCTTATTTCCAGCATATTTTATTATTATCATTAATATCATTATTAGCATTACCATCATTATTATCAGTATTATTAGCATCATCATTATTATTGTTGTTATAATATTTTAATATAAGTTTAATTATTGATATTACTGGTATTATTGTTATCATTGTCAGTATCATTATTATTACTAGTATTATTACTATTATTATTATTAGTAGTATTATTATTATTAATAATAATAATATTATTATTATTACTACTACTACTACTACTACTACTAGTATTATTATTAGTATTAATATTACTATCATTATTATTATTCGTATTATTATTGTTATTATTGATATTGCTAGTATTATTATTATTAGTATTATTATTGTTATTATTAGTAGTAGTAGTAGTAGTAGTAGTAGTAATAATATTACTATATATGTATGTACATCTATGACCCTTCTCCAGCGGCCCAGAGGCCCACTCCAGAGGGCTGGTTTGATCCTTCGCTGGGGGATCTCTTTGAACTTTCTCTTTTTGACATGCGCCAGGCGAGCAGAGCGAAAAGGTTCCTTCCGAAGGGATACTCGGTCCACGAGTACACCTGAGGATTCAGCAAAGGCTTTGGCAATCACAGCCCAGACAGACACAGGGAAGGAGAGGAGGGAGACTTGAGCGAAATAGTTACAGACAGGCAAGCTGACATAGGCGGGCCTCAACGAAGCGAGAGATATAACAATCAAAAATTAAAAACATCTCTGACCCTTTCTCCAGCGGCCCAGAGACCCACTCCAGAGGGCTGGTTAGACCCTTCGCTGGGGGATCTCTTTGAACCTTCTCTTTTTGACATGCGCCAGGCGAGCAGAGCGAAAAGGTTCCTTCCGAAGGGATACTCGGTCCACGAGTACACCTGAGGATTCAACAAAGGCTTTGGCAATCACAGCCCATACCGTGATCCATTACTGGAGGGCCTCCTGAAAGCACTGAAAGATGGAGGCCTCCGCAGCCGTGGCTCGCCTCGCGAGCTCGGAAGGAAGACGGGCGGCCTGGAGAAGAAGGCGGCCGCTCTTTTCGTATCGTTTTACGGACTGGGCGTGGGCCCAGCGCCCGCGCTTCTGAACAACTGCTAGACTGCGAGCGCGCACCAACACGTCGTGACTGGGCGCTGAGTGACGGGCCACGTGGGGAGTGAGGTGCCCTACTTTGCCGAGGACAGAGCGATTGTATTTCCTAAAAAGTGCTTCATACTTGGCTAGAGACAGGTGCGGGAAGACTAGCTGATCAGAAGAGGTGTCAGACTTATGGCGCCCAGCCCACATCTCAAGCACGGAACCTACCCACTCACGGCCGATAGCGTCGAGAACTACAGTGTCATCGCTCTCACCAGTCTTCGTGGTCTCACCGAGGTCTGAGTTACCAATGACATCAGCCCACTTGTTTCTTGACAGTGAAGATGAGAGCTTTGAGGGCTGAACCACGGAGCACCACCGCAGTTCGCATATCTCAGAAGGTCTCAGGTAGGCGTCTAGTTGGATGGCCAGGGCGACGGCAGCCTCGGTGTGATTGTCCCTCAGGAAGACACTCATGAACAAATAGAAAACCGAGAGCGGCCACGGATGTCGTGAGGAGCCAGGGAACCTGCGGACCCAGCCCTTCATCGCCTCACGAGCCATCGCGAGGCGGGCGGACTTGGCGATGTCCGACCGTGGGAAGAAAGTCAGATACCCCCAGAGTGTGTACCGTCCCTCAGCGGCATGTCGAGCATCACTCATGAGAACATCGAAGTACTTGCACATTTTCTGATCGATAACGGACTCTGGAGCTTGTCTGAGGTCATCTGAGCGCGTCGCCCAGTCGAAAAACTCGCGAACTGCGGTCCCATATCGCTCGAGCGACGTTGAGGTGATCGAGCCGAAACGGGCGACACCTCCATCCACAGGGACTGGCGCCGTCGGCCCGAAGCTCAGGTTGCGGCCCCTGATCGCCTCCACGAAACTAGAGACGCGGGAGCGGCGGCCAGCGACCTTTCGGGCCTTTCCTCGAGCGGGCTGCCTGCTTCCTTGCTGCTTCGAGGTTGGAGTCCTGACCGAAGACGATGAAAGGCCGCAGGTGGTCAAACCTGCTCTCGAGGTCGGCTGAGTCGGCGGCGCCAGCGAGCCCGAGGTCAGGCTCCGCTTGAAGCCGCTGCCGAGCTGGTCGGAGGAGCTCGCGGGCGCGCGAAGCCGGCCGTCTCGCAGCATCGCGAAGCCGGGCATCCAGGCCCCCGCCGTCAGGCGGGCCTGAGCCGCCCCGGGCTTGCGCAGGCGCTGACATGCCCGCGGCCAGGGCCCATGCCTGGCAAAGACTGCGGGGGTAGGCTCCAGCGCCTGCCGTACGACTGCGAGAAACACGAGCCCCAGATGGCAACGTCACGGTCTCGAAACCCTTGAGCTCAACATGTGAATGATCTCTGGATCACACCGAAGCTAAAGAACTCAGGGCTGAAAGGTTAGTGAGAATCGCTGTCGGCTTCATGTGGGAGGCTCCGTAACTACAGTGTACCAAACACACGCGAACAACGTCAGGAAGGTCAGTGAGCTCTCGAACGGGGTCGAAGTCCCAAAGTCTGGAAGATCTCGGATTCTCAATGCCCCAGAAGACGCCGTTCCGCGAACACTCATAAGCAACGCGGCAGCTGAACAACGCTAGAGCTACACCCACACGCTCCTTGTACGCGGCTTTCTCATAATTGGCGATGCCGTGACGAGCCCGAGACCACACGCAACAAGGTGTCCCAACATGTACATACCAGAAGCGCCCCTTTCGGATGTCCTCTAAGATGATGTTCTGGACCTTCGGGTCCAGGAGGTCATAGTGAGCCCCATCTTTGATGTCCATGCAGGGGTAAGTAGACAGGCCGAGCTCCTCGAACGCCTTGGAGAGCCCACCCTCGCCCGAGAACAGCTCCAAGAAACCCTGGCCCTGCTGGGCCCGTCTCCGAAGCTGAGCGCGCCCAAGACGTAGAGGGGGACAGGCGGTCCGACTGGTCACCGAAGGTGTCGAAGTAGAAGACGGACAGGACGCTCGACGCAGAGAAGCTTCGATTTCCTCGGGAGGCTGCAAACCCAGATGCTTGTCGCTCTCGGCCGCTGCGGGCGGATGCCCTGCGAGACCGAGTCCAGGGGGCAGGCTGCCCGTCTTGACTACAGCGTTCAAAGGGGGGTAAGAGGGAGAAGATGATGTCATGTCTGTCGAACTCTGTCTGTTGTATCCCTTGTCGGGGGAATTGTGTTCGAACCGACGAGATGGAGCGTCGGCCACGTTAAACTTGGCGTTGACATACCGCAGCCTCCAACGCACTCTACAACCGATTGTGTAGGCCGCAGCTCGCCGGCACTGCGCGTTCAAAGCTGCTGAGCGGCTGGGCCGCCCTTTGTCCAGGCAGCCAACACATGCCATGGAGTCCACGAGAGAAACTAGGCGGCGTCCGCAATTCTGGCGAACGCAACAGGCATGCCGCAGCCCCATCACTGCAGCGCGGGTCTCCTTCACATTGATGTGCTCTCCAGGCCAGCGCCAGCGCCTTGCTGCCACCAGCTTGAAGCCCTCCGAGTCGAACCAGGAGGCGGGCAGCGGCGGCGCCAGGGGGCCCACCTGACCGAGGCACTCGGCGTCGGGATCGTCAGGGTCGGCTGGGCGCCGTCGCAGACGGCGAGGGCGAGGCCGATGAGGTCTGTCGAGGGCAGAGCCCTCCTCGGCCTTGCTCTGCAGCCACTGGCCGAAGGCCGTGGCAGGGGCGGAGCCAGCGTTCGGCTCGGCGGAGCGGCAACGGGGCTCCACCTCGTGATCCAGCTGCGTCTCCTCTGCTTCCTTGTAGCCGCCCATCTCAGCGACATCAGCGGCCGAAGTCAGACCAACGCGGGGGCCTCGGAGGTGTTGCCTGAAGCTCCACTTCTCCTTCCAGCGGAAGGCCGACTGCATCTCCTCGACCGTGGCCTTCTTGTACATCAGGCCGTGCCCGTTGTCGGCGGAGTCGCTGGCATAGACGCGCGGCACGCGGGGCGCCGCCAGGTCGACCTCAGCGAGCCAGACCAGCCCAGCGACCAACCTCATCTCGTGCATGACCTCGCGCGGCAGAGGGGTCCGAACACCCCAGGCGGTCTCGGCGAACCGGTACGTGGCTGAGAGCGCGGCGTACCCAGGCCTGGCCAGCATCAGCAGCGATACAGCGTGGCCCAGCCAGACCTCCATGTGCTCTCCTCGCATCTTGCCACGACGCAGGAGAGCGCGGGTGGCCAAATCAAACCGCCACACTCGGGAGGCCTTGTTGCGAAGCTTCCCCTTCCCGAGGTCGATCTCAACGCCCACGGTCTCGAGGTGGGTCACCACATCAGGATAGGACCACGTGATAGGCAAACCAGATCGGTCAGCTTCGGCCTGCAGGGCGGAGCTCGCCTCACGAGACAAAGAAGCGTCCCTGCCGAAGACAGTGATGTTGTCCACGTAGACGCTTCCCATGACCTCAGACTCATTCAAGTCGGGGGCGGGATGATGCTCCTTCACCATGGCAGGCGTCGGTAGAGACGACGAGCGCAGCGCCCGCTCTGTCATAGCGGATACAGCCTCCTGCGCAAAGTACAGAGCCCAGGACCACCCCATGCACATAGCGCGCATGCACGGATACAAGACCATGTCGTCCTCCACGGAGACCATCGTGTTCAGCTCGGGGTCCCAGAACGCTCCGACATTGATGCCGTACGTGTCCCTGATCTCGGCGGCGGGCAGCGGGTCGTCGAAACCGAACCACTTCGCCAAGCCATCGATGGCGAAGTTGTAGAAGCAGTCCTCGACATCGGCCTCGTTCCCGCGGGGGCCCCAGCCTATCACACTGCCGACGCCGTCGAAGGACTCGCCACCCACGGAGAGGTCGAGGTCCGCAAGGGCCCCAGCTGAGCCGAGTGTTGAGGTCGGAGGGGCACGATGACACGAATTGGCCTGTCTAGCATCCACAATCATTATAATCTCACCTGGTTTCTTTTTCTTCACAGATAAGAGGGCAGCACGAGCCCGGAGACGACGCCTGAAAGTCATTAGCCCTAGCTCATACAAAACCCTGAAGAGTCGCCAACGCTCTGTCCGACTCGAGCGAAGCACAGGATCCCAGTAAGGACGAATAGGATCGGTGTGCTGGCGCGTGAACTCCATTTCGCCCTCATCCTTCTCGATGTACAGCGCAGGGTTGCGGATCATGTCCGCGGGCAAAGGCGGCAAGAAGTTAGCCGCAGAGCGAGGTCGAGCGCGCCCCCTTGCGACCTTGAGCTTTGTCAGATCGAATGGCGCGAGGTTCTTCGGCTCCTGGCAGTACAGGTCCTTAGAAGCCAGCAACTCGCGAGCGGCCCCCTCGGCCGTCAGGCCAGGCGGGGGGGGGCCCGCAGCGGCAGCGCGCTCCGTGATGCTGTCCAGGATCCACTCCTGAACGGCAGTCGGGGCCCGAGATGACTGGCGAGCCTGGCAAACACTATCTGGATTCGGTTGAGCAGCAGCGAGATGGTTGAGCGAAGCCCGCGGCGAGAGCACTCGCTGTCGCTGCTCGAGGCCCAAGCCCGAGCTGTCGAGCTGAGAGGGCAAAAAATGCGGCAGAGGGAAAGGGCCCCCGTGCCTCCGTCTTGAGGGCCTCCACCGGGCAGTATGTCCCCGATCCGTTGAAGGAACGTCGGGCCGAGCTCGGGGATCAGACTCGGCCCGGAAGGCCGCGGTCACCCCGGGGCCTCCTCTTCGCCCTTGCTCCCCTTCTCACCTCGGCCGCGACCGCGGCCTCGTCCTCGGCCTGAGTCTGCGGGGGCACGAGAGTTCTGCATGGCCCGCTGCTCCTCGTTCCACAACCGAGTCTGCTTGTAGATCGCGGCCTGCTCCTTGAGACGGCTCGTGACCCACTCCGTGAACCTGTTCGTGCTCGCCTGGCCCTGTTCGGCGGTTGGAGCGCGAAGCAAAATCTCCAGCCCACCGTAGTCAGGATGGCGAGGGTTGCGAGCCACCGCGGTCTCGTCCTGGCAGATCCTGCGCATGATGAGTTCGAAACTCAACAAGTTGGTCACGTCGAGCTGGTCTGTCTGAATGGCCAGCCGAACCGACTCGCACAGCACGTAATGAATGTGGGCCACCGCCGAGGACTCGCTGACTCCCGAACGGCGAACCCCCTGTCCGTGATAAGAAGAAAGACCTCCAGGGCCATCCCGAACTGAAACGAGCCACTCCCTGGCGACTCGCGGTCCAGGCATGGCCCAATCGTCGAAGCTCGTCTCGCGCATCAGGGATACAGCGTCTGAAAGCGGCAGATGACGGCGGCCTGCGGAGTCCCGATGGTCGCCCAAGGTGCGGAGGTCTCCACCCTCCGAGCTACGCGAGGTCATCCACTCTTGCAACTGATTGCCCTGAACCTTCTCTACGAACACCTCGAGGCCGCTCACCAGCGCCACGCCCTTGGACTGCCCCAAGGAAGCCTGGTCTAACTCTGCATCGACCAGGGGCTGGGCAATCCGTGAGTGACCTACCTCCGCGACGACCCAAACGAAGTTCTCCATCTCAACGTCATGGTCGCCGTCGCCCAATATTGCCGCCTGAACTGCGGCTTGCCTTTTCAGAGCCAGAATCTCAGCTCGAGGCACAGGGTCGAAGCCATGCACCTCGCCCCGACGATTCGCAGGGAACATCGAATTGCGGTCGAGGACGAGGTGGCGCTGCTCTAGGAGGTTATGACGCACAAGCTCTAGGTCGGGGGTGATCGCTATCCACACCCCCGCTGTGATCTTCTTCACTAGAATACGGTGATGCCAGAACATGCCTCCCTCGTCATTGGGATAGTGCACGAGTACTTGGGGTTCTGGGATGTCTAACGTGTCCATTGTGAGAACCGACAGTCGCTGAAGAAGCCGAGTCCGACGAGCCGCCAAGCACTTCACGAATACGGCTGAGCAGCCTTCGTAGGACTCCAAAGGCCAGCACTGCGGCCCAACTCACCACAACGCCGATGAGAATGCCCACCGTCAGCCAGAGAGCCCAGGCGCACGGAGTCGATGGTGCCGTCGACGGGCGCTCAGTCACCTCGGGCTGCCTCCCACAGCTCAGAGCAGGACAGCCTGGGCAAGGCGGGCGCGATCCGCAAGTGACTGCGGCTGACGCGGGGCAGGCTGGCACCGCGGGACAAGGAGGAGCTGCTGGGCACCTGCTGAGGTACGAAAGCAGGCCGTTGACAGCTAAATCTTGGAGACGCTGCTGCCGCATCGGCCCTCAAGACTTGAGCGAAATAGTTACAGACAGGCAAGCTGACAGAGGCGGGCCTCAACGAAGCGAGAGATATAACAATCAAAGATTCAATATATATATATATATATATATATATCCCTTGGCATTCTACCACGCCTCAACGTGCGCAAGGCACGGTGGCGGACCTATCTTGAGATATGTACATAAGATATGTAAAAACTATGTTTGAACATGTGCGTGTACGTGTTCCTTCCAGTAGGCGCCCTCTTCTGAGCGGCAGCGAGGCCCGCCTCCGGTTTTTCCTCCCCCGCTGTCCCCTCTTCGGTTCCCTTCCTTCCCCTTGGCGCAATTAGCTCGTAGCTTGCGTGCTGTGACCTTGACGGCGCCCGGCGTCCTCCGGTGCGCTCGCGATCAATGACGTGTTCCTTCGTGTTCCCTCTCTTTGGCCTCCCACCCTTCTCCAGGGCGCCCCGTCAGCTCTGGCTCCGCAGCCGACTGTTCGCCTCTTCGCCCCACGAGTGGACGCGCGGACCGGGCGCGGGGACCGAGCAGCGGAAGCCTGGGAGAGAGGGAGGAGCAGATTGACCACACGTGAGAGCCTGAGGATTGCTGAAGAGGTTTTAGCTACGGCGTCGGGAGCAACTTGCGAGGCCCAGCAGTGCCATGATTTTCGCAAAGTTCTGCAAACACACGCATTCCTGGCATGCTCGATGGTACCGCCACTGCTTGGGACACGGCACGATGGTCGCTGTTCCGCCGCCGCGGCCCTTCGGCGCCCGGCCCGCCCTCGCTCCCGCGCCCCGCAGGTCGATAGATCTCGGCGCCCCTGCTGCCCTGGCTGCTGGGCCCCTGCCAGCTCCTTTCATACCCCTCCATCGGGCGCGGGCATCGTGGGCTGTTCAGTCGCTGGGAAGGTCAGAAGATCTCAGTGCTCCGCCGACGTGGTTTTGGCGGAGCTGGCGGCCTGGCGGCCTGCGAAACTGCAGCGCTTCACCGGCCAAACGGTTGTAACCTTGAGAGGCGATCGGTCGAACCATTGCACACTGACGGTCGCGCCATCTGTTGAGTGTTTCGCAGACTGGCCACCGCGAGGAGCAAACATATTCATGATTTGGTAATGACTTGCCAGATCTCACCGAGCATACGCATTGCACAAACGATTTCGCTACAACGAGACAAACGGCAAGTTATTGCATTGGAACCGCTTAAGCCACAAGCCGTTGCCGTGCAACCATTATGGCCACAAGCTCTGTCAGCGTAGTCGTTTGTGGCCTGACCTTTCAGACAGACCTGCGGTTTCGACCCAGTCCAGCCCCTGGTAACGACCAAGCTCCAATCCTGCTCGATCGCTCCATCCTACCCTGTCTCCTCCGTTATTTGAAGATGAACTCCAAACTTGCTTGCTTTTCATGATGCAAGTGCCCTCGGCGCTTCTCCCGCGGGCCTCCCGACCCTCTTGCTGCAGCCATTTCTGCGCGGTTTGAAAATAGTGACCCTTCGCCAGCGTGACCTTTGGTGATGGCCCACTGGGGTACCTCGATCGCTGAGTGCGATGCGATAGCTGCGGCTGGCGCGCTTGGATGTGGCCCCCTCGCGCACAGCCGCGCACCAAAGGTCACTCTTGCTTACGGTCACTCTTGCGCGTGGCCGAGCCGAGCGCGGGGGGCAACGCGGAGGGAGCAGGGGGCCCGAAGGATTCAGCAGCGGGGCGGCGTTGGTGGAGTGGAAGTCGGGCGTGTACTCTTGACCCGCAAGTGGCCGTGCGGGCAGAGGCCGAAGGGCGTGTGTATCTTCTGCCCGGGCGCACCGACTCGGAGTCCCCCAGCCGCGGCCTCCCGCAAATCAGCGATTTGGGCACCTCCTCTTCAAACGTGCAGTGGGACGCAACCTGGCACTGCAAACGCTGCTTAGTCGACCTCTGGATCGCACGACGCGGTGGAGATCTTCACCAGGGACGGGACCAAGGTTTACCCGGACACCTCGCACAAGCGACTGCGACCCCCCCCCCACCCCCGCGACCAACAGCAAACCCGCTTCTGGCCCAGGCAGGCACGAGCACCAGACGCATCGACCCTCCTCGGGCCCTAGCAGGCGAGGGCGGAAGGGCCCAGGAGCTCGACGACCCTCTCGGCGTCTTCCCACAGGCCCCCGCCCACGAACCAGGCCAAGCTAGCGGAGGCCAGCTATGCCGAGGAAGGCCGAGGCGACCCGCAACCCGCCCCACCCGGCGGGGCGCGCCCAGGACCGCGCCAGGCCCCCCAGGATTGGCGCAGCCGGCAGCACTGGGGAGGCCCGCGCACGAGCAACCAGCCACCCGCCTCAACCACGGACCAGATCCCGCGGCGGCAAGGACCACCAGCCCAAGGACAGCGGGAGGACGCCCCCACGCGGGAAAGATCGCAGCCCACCAGCGCACTCCCAGTGGGAGCAAAAGCGCCGCAGCCACCCCCGCAGACGCACTCGCAGCGGCCCACGTTCCGACAGCAGGTCACCTTCCGCCCCCCTGCTGGCACCAACCGGAAAGCGCACCGCAGCAGAGCCAGCGACTGAGGCTCCGGCACCTCGAGCGGCACCCCGCCCCCGTACACCGTGGGCGGCAGTGTCCCCGCGGGCAAGACGTCGAAGCTCCAGCGACAGAGCCAGCCCAGAGCGAGGTCAGTGGAGGGACAGGCCCCCTGCCCAAGTCCAACAACGGGGGCTCCGACCTACCCGAGGCCTCTGCTTCGCCCCGGACCGCACCCCTTGCGACCTGCGACATCCTCTCGGACCTCCCCGACCTCATGCCACCCCCATGCCCTGGCCTTGCCAGTAGGAACGTGGCCACCCTGGAGGCCGATGCGCCGATCAACCCAGCCCCCAAGACCAGGACGGCAGACTACACCATTGTGCACGCAATTGTCCAGCACGCCCATGCCCTGCTCGACAGCGTCGAAGAAGCTTGGCGTGAGTGGGCCGACTTGCTACGGCACCATCAACCACTCTCCGGCAACCAAGCTACCCCGCGGGACCCGCGGGCGTGGACGAAGGAGGGCTGCAAAGGCTTACTCGCCCGCATAGTTACATGGACCACAATCCCCAACAAAGGGATCCCCGAAGGAAGACCCTGGGACGGGAGACGAGCCGTCCTGGTCCACCTAGTTGCGTACCTCACCACACAGAAATGGCGATCTTCAACGAACAAGCAAGACCATCCGGCTGACCAGTGGACCGATTCCCTTCCGTCAGGCCAACCATCAGCTGTCACAAGAGATAGGCCAAGATCCCAGCAGGTACAGCCGACAGCCCCTCACCAGCTTCTTGGTCTCGCAGAGAATCTGGGACCCGCAGTCACCCCTGCTGGAAAAATGCGCCCCGGGCGCGGCGGCTAACCCCAGCGCCAGGCCCAGCCGCGACAAAATCAGAGCAGGCTTTTCTGCTGACGGACGCAGCGCCGGAACGCCCCGCGGCGCCCATCCCTGCGCAATCCTTGAAGAGGCCAGCAGTTCTGCTGCAGGCCCCTCCGCCTCGGCCTCTAGCTCCCGCCGCGCTGAGCGCGCTGCAACCGCCCCCTGCCCCCCCGGGGCCCGAACCCCCCCCGCGCCGCCCCCCCGCGCGCGGAGACTCTGACGCAGACTTCGGGCCCCCCGAAGCCGACCCACAGGCCGGCCCCAGCGTCGAGCGCCATGCCGATCGGCGCGCCCTGGCAGCAGCCAGCGGCCTTGGATGCGAACGCGGACGCCAACCAGCCCCCCAGCACGAGCGACCACCCCCCGCCGGCCACCCCGCAGCCGCTGGCGAGGTCGACGCCAGCTCGCGCAATCCCGGCACCCGCGCCGACCTGGCGGCGGAGAGGGGCATGGTGGACGACCCCGACGAAGGTCGCACGCGCAAGGCTCCCGGGGCGGCGGAGCAGGAGCACGCCCGCCATTAGCCGGCCGAGGCGGCGCGCGCCAGCCCAGCGACGGGCCAACGCGACGGGGGGGCCCCATCCGATGCGCGCCCAGACCGCCCCCCCCCCCTGCGCCGCTCCCAAGGCACAGGGCCCCGCTCACCCACGGCGGGCACGCGCGCCACTACGACCCCAACGACAAACGCAACATTAATGTCCGCCGGAACATCCGCCGGCACCACGATTGGAACCGATCGGCGGCGCCTCCCCCCCCTTGCGGCGCCTCCGGCGCCACCCCTAGCGCCACGTGTCCGCGCGCCAGATATGTAGGAGGTCTAGCGTGCATTCACGAAACCGATTCAGCAACCCAGGATGGGGACTTGGGGCATCTGCACTCCAATCTGGAGGATCGAAGTGGGTACGGAAAGCGTGGGGGGCTGCGTTTTCGGGCCGTTCCTGAGACCGAGGTCGGAGAACCCAGCCGTGGCTGAAGCTCGCTCGCCGCGACCAGGAAGGCCACGCCACTCCGTTCTTTATTTTGCGTTCCTGATGTTCGCACGCTGACTGTATTCTCCGATCCCCTCACAGTCGAAGGCCTCGAGTCTGAGGTTCAATGCTTCTGGACTCGGGGCGGACAAAAATGACGCTCGACGCTCCATGAGGCATATCCAGCCCTGCTCCTTAGCTCCTGGGGTCTATTCTGCCGTG